TATCGTACTTAACACATTTTTCGTTATATTAAAGTATGCGTAAAAAAATTACGTTTTTACGCTTTGATTCTACGCTTTACGTTTTTACCCATTTTCCGCTTCTAGGTAGAATCGCGCTTTTGACTGCATTGCTAACACATGGAACTAGGGTTCTTCATACCCAAGTGAGAGAAAGGTCTACTCCATAGAGAGAGAGAGAGAGAGGAAAATAGAAATCAAATTAGTCATACTCATAAGGATGGGAATAATCTGCTCGGGGATGATAATCCTCACTCCAAGGATGAAATCCAAGTTTGATTGATGAAACCCAGCTCCAGAATCAATCCTAGGGTTTGTTCTTCGCACTTTCTCTCTCTAGAACTCTGTTTTTGCTCCAAAAAGTTGATTCCCCCTCTCCAAAACCTGAAATTGGGTTTTTATGCAGCTGTCTGCGATTGCATGCCAGACCGCACGGCCGTGCAATCCCATAGTCTGCCCGTGCACCCCAAAACGCGGCGTTTCATATAATTCCACAAGGGGGGTGCACGGCCAGTGCACGACCCGTGCAATGCGAGAGGCTGGCCGTGCAATCCTCTCGCGGAAATAAGCATGTCCACAATTTCATCGCGCACGGCCGTGCGAAAAACAGGGTCAGGCCGTGCAGCTTCTTGGTAAATCATGCACGGCCGTGCGCTTTCCCGTCCTGGCCGTGCAACTCGTCTGATCTCCCTTAGATCATCCCGATTTTGCCCAATCGACTCCAAACTCGTGCTCAAACCTTCATTCACGCATTAAGACCTGAAATGTCATAAACAAGAATAACCTAGCGTAAAATCGGCTTAAAACCCGAGATCCGAGCCTCAAACAGTATAAGAATGGTGGACAAAAACATGTGTAATTATCAAGTCATCACTTATGCCTCTTTTCAATTTGTCCCATTTCAACCACCATACCCAAATCCAAATTCGAATAACAAAATTTGCACTATAGTAATTTCTTCCATCCAATTGAGAATTGATATTTAAGACTTGCCACTGCTAATCTTAAATAAATCAATCCTAGCTTAATTAATTCTATCCTAGGATCGATTAGGAGCAAACTTGGTAATTGTTGGTCCATATTGACTTGCCACTGTTTGTCTCAACCAAATAATTCAAAGCTTCTTTTTTACATATAATTGTAGCACGATGCTACAATAAGTTTTTTCAGTAGAACGATGGTCCCGGACAAAATGTGGTATCTACAGAGATCGATAAATGACAACTCCTACCTTGAAAGAAAGAATAAAGAGCACCTTCTAGAGTCCATGGTTTTAAACGTTTTTGAGAAACCCCCCCAGTGCACACCTTTGATGTCTAGACCTCTTTAGTGGCAAGGTCCCATTCGAGAGTGTGTTTTGACGTGGAGATCAGTGGTAGAATTCTTAATGACCGGTTGATCTCGAAAGTGCTAGTTGACCCTCTACCGACGATCTATTATGCATGACATTGATTTATCTTGCAAGTTGTACGATTTTTAGTAGGTTTGATTGGGGATAAGCAAACGCTTAAGTGTAGGGGAGTTTGATAACACCTAAAATAGGCGTTATTTAGCCTCTAGTCCCAATGAATTTGCATGTTAAATCACCGTGTCTCGGGCACATATCAAGTTATTAATGCCCATATTCGTTCCTATTTGGAAAACATGCATTTTGGCATAGGTATTCATGATATGAAGGTTTTCATAGGGGAACCGACTCCAATGTGTCGTATTTTATGCTTTCCCAAGTGTTTGTGATAAAATTCCAGGTCTTATATTCATTTGGGATTGATCGGGAATCGATTGTAGTTCATCCGAGCACGTGGGAAGCATAGGAGCAAGGAGGGGAGAAAAAGCACTGGTCACAACCACAGTTCACTGCCCTTGACCAGGCCGTGACGATGATCGTGGCCTGAGAACGTGGTCTCGATCAGTGGCCACGAACTCCAACAGGCGACCAAGAAGAAGGCTGATAGACCGTTAGTTACACATGTTTTTACCCCTGCTCTTACTCCGTTTGAGGTATTGATTCTCGTGTTTTAGGCCGATTTCACGCTAGGTTGTGCTTGTTTATGATATTTCAGGTCCTAGTACGTGAATGGAGGCTTGGGAGCGAGTTTGAGGTCGATTGGACGAGGATCGGACGCATGGCGAGGTTCTGAGGAAGTCGCACGGGCACACCCACAACCCGCACGGCCGTGCAAGTGACCAGTTTGGCCGTGCGGGATTGTGCGTGGGCACGCACGGGATTGTGCGTGGCCACGCACGGCCGTGCAACTGACCAGTTTGGCCGTGCGGGATTGTGCGTGGGCACGCACGGGCATAAGGGAAATCCGCACGGCTGTGCAAGGTGCAATCCTGGCCGTGCGCGATGGCTGAAGCTCGACTTAATGGTACGCCGCGTTTTGAGGTGCACGGCCAGAATGGTGATGTGGGCAGTGCACCCTGGCCGTGCGAGTCGGGAAAGTCTGGTTTTTAAGCGGATTCCGAGCCAAACAGAAAGGGATTCGAGTTTTTGAGAGACAGAGCGGTTCCTAGAGAGAGAAAGCGACGAATAAGAGCCTCCAAGTGCCCTAGATCGATCTTCAACACCATTGGAGCTTGGTTTGAGCTTGGAGAAGTGCCGATTCAACGTCCAGGAGCAGAAATCCATCTTCACAGTATGATTTCCGCGTCTGATTCTGCTTTTGCTTCTCTCTCCATGGAGTAGTTCCCCCATTCATCTGGGTATGGGAAACCCTAGTTCTGTATGTTAGGTTTGATTGTATGAACCCAAGTATTGATTCTATGATTTTGATTATATTCGATTGAGGTTTGAATGATTGAATGACTTGAATCCTGATCAAATTCCTGTTGTTTCTGCTTTAACCTAGAATGATAATATCTGCCTAGGTTGATAGAGTATCCTTAATCGAAGGTAGTGAATTGGTGACTTTAGTCGAGGAGCCAGTTCACTATTCTGTACCGAATTCAATTCGGTAGTGGAGGTTTCGTTCATAGGGCCTCAATCTGTTTACTCCGGTGTAGGTTAGTCGCCAGCTAGAGACTCAGATTGAGAGGGTCTGAAGACCTTTAGTCGAGACTTCAGACTGATTAAGAACCTTCCGCAGTATAACTATCATAGAAATTGAACTTGGTAATTACAATCCGGCTTAACTGCAGTCTAGGGGGAACCATATCCGGGTGACCTCTCTTAACCTGAATACAACCGTTTAGTTGTTTTGTTTGCTTGTTAGTTTAGATCTTCACTAAAGTTGCATTGCTAGATAATACGAATTCACTGAGTAGTCATCACATCTAGGACCCGGGTTGACAATAAAACCCAAACCCGCTATACTACGCTTTAGGAAGTGGTTACACTTGGCCATTTTCTAGAGTGACAGTAGGAGCGAGTCAAAGGCAGAGAGTTTCCTCACCCAGATCGCGGACATGGAGTAATATGATCGCGACAAAAGATCACACCTGGGTCACAAAGATCGCGGTCATGATCTCAGAAAGGAGGCTGTGATCTCGGAGTGCCGCCCTAGAGGAAGAAAGTTAGGGTTTTGGATTGTTTTAGAGTGGGAAATACCTTGTGAGAGCTTCATTGAAGATCCAATCAACCCAAGGAGCAAGGAGAAGGTGCAAGTAAGGAGAAGAAGCTTGATTCCATCACTCTCCTCTTCTAGTTTGTGTTTTCTTCTTCTCTCTAATGACTTGAATCTCTAATGGTTGTTTAGAGAAGATGAACCCTAGTTTATAGGTTGTGTATGAATGGGTTATGAATGAATGTGTTTATCTAGTTGATTCTATTGATATTCTATCCTCTATTGTTTTGTGTAAGTCGCTTTAATCTTCTTTATTAGTCTACTTTACGCTTCTAAGCTGGGTATGGAGTTCTTGGGTTAGACGGGTATGCGCCATTAAGCAAATTGAGGTAGATCAGTAGATGTATGAATAGGGACCTATGGTGGTCTAGGCGACTGAACCCCTACTATAGGTAGCCTTCCTAGATAGAACCCGGGATAAAACCCCAGTGTGGATGGTGGATAGTATCCATTGAAAGGAGGTATGAGCGTAATGCCCCAGATACGATAGGCTAGATCGAGGTGACTTTATATGGGTTTTGGGGAGGCATACTCGGAGGCATGTGGATAACCATGAAAGCCCACGGAAAATAGCTCACTCACCACATTTGACAAAACCCTACTTGACAACTATAGCTAGGAGGATTCGACCCTAGGCAATTGTCTCATCTCTAGCGACCTCCCAACCACTTGGTTGGTTGTTTATTTTGCCTTTAGGAGTAGATTAGACTAGATTCTTCACCCAAACCTTTGAACCAATTAGATAATAGTTCGGAGCGAGGAAATAGCAATCTTAGGGTTCCCTTGGAATACGACTAAGCCACTTTACTACAACCCTAGCTAGGTTATACTTGGCTTAGTTAGGATTGAATAGAGAGTGTGCATCGACTTATAAATTTAAAGCTCGATCGCGCATAAGCGTTATCATTTAGGGTTCATTTTTTACATGGTTCAGAATTCAGGGTTTAGGGTTTAGGATTTAGGTTTTAAGGTGTGGAGTTTAGTTAAATATTTTTGTAAGTAATTGGAAGCAATTTGGAGAATCGAACCCATGTCTTCTTAACCAAATCTAACGTACTAACAAATTAGCCTAATGAACTTTCGTGTAAATTGATGTAGGCCAATAATTTTTATTGCTTTACAGATGGTGCCTAAATTAAAGGACAAAGCCATCATCTTCTTCTAATTGAAGATCCCTGGCTGTTATCATTTCATCTGCCCATACAGAACCCTTGTCCATTTGTGTTTCATTTTCCTGTGATATGCATAAAGGGGATGAATGGATTAGTACCATTGACTAGCATGAATGACCACTCGCTATTGAATCATATAAAACTATACATTTCCGACGAAAATCCAACAATCACCGATGAAGCTTTAATATGTTCGGTAAAAAGGTCGATAATACTCAATATTTCAGACGCATTAAGTCCTTGTCAATAATAATTCTTTTTTTTCCCCCCGTTGAATCAGATTCTTCTCATTAAACTAACATCGTAAATCACGATGCTTGAATCGATACAACGAAATGGGGAGACTAGTTGTAGCCTTCCGAGCAATAGCAATTCCTATTTCCACTTTCTCCATTATCTACTTTGACTTTGCTCTTCTATCATCAACAATGGTATCTATCAAGTAAACCTATACTTTCAAAATCAGAAGACAAAAGTATATCACTACTCAAACGACAACTCAAATAATATTGAAAGCCTCTCCAAACTTCCTCCACGCTTCTGTGTTTCTCACAATGGAATCTGCGACATCGCTATCTCCATATTGCCGCAGATAGTCCACACCAGAGCACACAAATAGTCCTCCCTGCTGGGGTATGCTTCTTCGCCAATCCACTTGCCAGCATCACTGCTCTCTCCCAGGGGTCCACAAACCACTGGCTAACACCAGCTACCTGCACAAGCTGTTGCACAGACACACAAGCAAAGAACAAATACTCTTTGCTCTCACTACTCAATCCACATAGAAAACACTGATCATCACTGATTTACCCCATCGTAACAACTTGCTTCGAGTTGTCAAAGCATTAATCATTATTAGCCAAGCAATAAAACTATATCTAGGAATAATGCACTTTCCCCAGATCAACTTACTCCATTCCTGCTTGCTTCACTTAGGATGGAGTGTGGTCCAAACCCTTTTTGCTGAGTACTGCTCCATAGGTTGTCCTTCCCAAAGCACCTTTATCCACCTGCCTGACAAGGAGATGTTGCACTTTAGGACGAAGCCGCAGGACTTTCCTCCACGCCCAAGAGCTGCTGAAGTTCACCTTGAGCTACCATACATCCACCCTTTTATAGCGATAAGCTACTGCTCAGGCCACCCATAGAGCACCCGATTGCATCAACATAAGCCATAGAAGTCGCAGTGAGCAAGCTTGATTCCAGGTTGTCAAATCTCTCAATCCTAGACCACCCTCAGATTTAGGGAGTGTAATACGCTCCCAAGCTACCTTTGCCCTTCCTGTTTCCTCACCATGCCATAGAAAGTTTTGGCACACCCTTCAAAACCTTCTTTGGTAGTATAATGATCTGCAACCAGTACTGGACCACACTCATCAGCACTGAGGAAACCAGCTGTAGCCGCCCTGCATAAGTCAGTTTCTTAGATCTCCAGGACTTGATCTTCTTTGTGATTTTACCAATGAGAACATCATACTCCTTACCTGTGAGTTTACCCGAGTGCAAAGGCAATCCTAGACATCGAACCAGAAGTGCTCCTTCTTTAAAACCAGTAAGATCAATGACATTCTGTTTGTATTTCCAGGACTCACCCCCAAAATATATTTCACACGTACTTGGGTTACAACGCAATCCAGACAGCATGTAGAAGGATTGCATTATTTGTTTAACACTGTTGATTGCCTGCCCTGATCCCTCTGCAAATATCAACAAGTTATCTGCAAAGCACAGATGACTCATTGCCATCTGCTTGCAACGAGGATGAAATGGAAGCTTCCCTTTTTGCGTAGCCTAATTCAATAAACCTGTTAGACCTTCCATTGCGATGCTTTGACAAAGTTTTACCGACGACATAATGAATTCGTCAAACATTGTTTTGGTTTTCTGATAGACAGATGACTACCGTCAATAATAATTATTTATTGTGACAGAGATTTCATTTGTCGGTAGAGATATTCACTATTACTGACGACAAAAAGATAACTGTCACAGATAATGGCCATGCAGAATTGAATAATCTAAAAAATATATATTTTTGACGAAAAACCAAACAATTATTGACGAAACTTTAATATGGTCGGTAAAAACGTGGATATTACTGACGACATTTATTTTTTGCCAGAAATGTATAATTTTTCTGACGGGTAATGAGTGTCGTCAATAAGTTCTTGTCAAGATTGTCTGTCTTTTTGTAGTCTATACCACTTATTAACGATTACCATTGCATATTTAACTAATATCAATACATGAAGATCACTACCAATACAATAACATCAATACCAAGAACATGATACATTACATAATCAATACCAATCCGAGAAATAATACCAATATAAAAAATACATACCAATATGAAAAATCCAGATATAAAATCCGGTTGAGATGTTCTTCGTTGGTCTCAGAGAGAAAGAGAGAGAGAGGGTGGAGGAGTTGGAAGGTGGGTGGGGAGGGGAGGAGAGAGAGAGAGAGAGTGTGTGGATGAGGGGAGTAAGGCGGTTTGCGGGGAGGGGAGGACGGTGAGCGGAGATGAGGTGGGAGGGGCAGGGGAGGCTGCCGGCGGGGAGGTAAAAGTTTGTGGGGACGCGGTCGGCAGGAGGAGACAAGAAAGAGGGAGGAATGGCGGCCAGAGTGAAATTGGAAGAAGCAAGGCGAATGAGAGGGTGGTATTAGGGTTTGGTTAATATATATAAATTTATTTTCAAAAGATAATAATTAGGTATGGTATCTTTTTTGTTTTCAAAATTACCCTTAATCTAATATAGACCATCAATTTAAAAATAGGGTGATAGAAGTATTTTGAGTAACCACGCTAACCCATCCTGGTCTTATGTGAGTAGTTTAGTAGATCTCATTATGGTGCATTTGTTTGCTTACAAGTCAATTTCGAAGTGCCTTGCTAGTCTAGTGATAAAGATTCCTCCATGGATGGTTTTGACCTTCGAATATTTATGTTCTTGAATAGGGTCTTGATGATGACCAACCCAAGATGGAGCCCTGACCCAACAAACATTGATTGGAGAAGATTTTGATCCAGCTTTGTCAAATTGGTAGCACTCTTCTCTTTTTGAGCAACCGTGTAAGAAAGGACATTATGAATAATCCTCCATTCTAATTGGAGGGAAGTGTTTGTGGTTGTAGCCGGGTCAAAATGAGATAGATGATCCTCATTCTTTAGTTGCTCGGTGAAGAACTTCTCATGATGATTGCAAACGCCGAGTTTCTCTCCTTGTAACGCTTGCCCCTCCGGGGTATGTAAGAATCCTGGTGGATAGACACCCATTTCCTTAGTGAATTCATTGAAGCTAAAAACAGAGATGTTCACCAATTTGGCGATTAAAAAATTGGACCTACTCCGCCTTTTTCTTTACTCCGAATTCTACGTAAGGATGAAGTGCCTTTTGGCCGCCCTTAATGGAGGCAGATGACTCCGCAACCTTCTTTGATTTGCCCATTCTTGTGAAGAGAACTATATACAATTCGTGGGCAACCTTGATTTGTTATGGTGGTGAAATGAGAGACAAATAATTACTTTATGAACCATGACTATTACAGAGGGGGTGGTGAAAGTGATAGAGAAATGTGAGCCAAAGTGCAAGTGAAGGGTGAATTCAAATGCAATAAAGCATAAGCAAAAAGTTCACTTAGTTCTTTCATCGAACACCTTGTGAGCATGAAGATCATACATGAATTTCACAATGTGTTCAAGTTGTGGCGAAGATTGGCATACAGACTAAACACCCCCTAGTATAGAATTGCAATCATAAATAAAGAATGTAGATGAGAAGACCAAGAATCAAGCAAGAGTCAATCCTAGGATTTGTCACATACATCAATCAAATAGATAATATGAGTAGCCAATCTTAGGATTTGTCACATACATCAATAATCAATCCAAAATACAGAACTAAGGTTCATCAATCATCAAACTCAGTGAAGAGAACTAATCCATGTAGAGGAGAGAGAATACAGTATAAGATATAATCTTTAAGCTTCAATGGTGATTGACACCTCTAATTGAGCTCCAAGATATCCTGTAATAAGTATTTATAAAACTTATTCACACAATAGTGTATGAGTATACACAAAATAAGTTTTAATCCAAAGGTAACTAGTATTTTGTAATATAAATAAATATATATTGGTATTCATTATCTTTAATTTTTAATTGAGTAAATTAAAAATTTATTCTTTATATTGACTTGAGAATGTATAGTTTATATAGTATTTTTGAAAAACATCTTTTATATTTTATTCTTAGGTTCATCTTACAATGTTTGACATACATTAATACCATATATTTAATGGATTTGTTAATATTGGAATGAAAGCGATAAAACATGATAAAAAATCTAATATAAAATCATTATATATTATAAAATGGAAGAATCATTATTCATAATCTTTAATGTCCAAACAAATGAGTATAACGTATATATTTATTATGTCATGTTAATATATCAAGTTAGTATTATTCACAATTTTATATGAATATCTGGTTTTTGTCGATGAATCTAGCCATTATCTACCTAATAAATCATATAAAATATACAAAAAGTAAGATATTGAGTTGATTAGTAAGTACACATTCAAAAATAAAAAATGATATGATAACAATCTGATATAATAATATTTTGTAATTTAAGATGAAATATATTAGAATTAATAATTATAATGTTAAATTAAATTAATTTATTTTGAAATCTAGATACATGAACTATTTAGTATTAAAAACATAGTTTACGTATTTAATCTAAGAGGTCAATTATTAGATAATGATAGACACAAAATTTAGGTCTTCGTTCAATGGTAACATAGTAAAAAAAATAAGCAAATTATAAAATTCTATATATTATAATTTTGTTTTATAGAAATTCAAGTCAAGAAATTCAAAATAACTTTTGTTAAATAGCTTATGAATTTCATTTAGTTTGAAGTTCCATCTTCTGGACCTCTTTTTTCATTCAAAATTTTTCTTTTTGTTTCATTGATTCATTTGGATTTCAACAACTTATTTGAATTTTAATTTTAATGTTTAAACAAGTGAAATAAAGTTGTACAATTGTCATATAACTTTATAATTTAGTATCAAAGCTGTAATTGGTAGTATATTTTTAATTTTTCAAATCACTATATCACTCAATAGTATTTAATAAATTTATTTATATCTATTTCAATCAAACCATTGGTACTATGTTACATATATAAAATAGTAATTTTCAATTAAAATCTAAAATAGAAAAATATGGAGTACAATATTAATATTCTTTATAAGTAGTATTACTTAAGAATTTAATTTGACATTAATATATATTTTCTATTAAGTTTTTCAAATTTATATGTATTTCATCCATGAATCTATATTTTATTAATTTAAAAATAATTTTTCATCCAAAAATAAGTTATAAAAAAATAAAATAAATAAATAATAACAAATAATATAAAAATATGAGTAAAATCAAGATATTGTGTAGATTAGAGCATCTCCAATGGTGCAAATGGAGGGAATTGCAAGCTGAGGTGGCAGCCATGTGCAATTGAAAAAGTGGATGATATTGATGCAAGACCACTTTCAAAAGATGAAAATTTGTACACCATGAAAATCTAACATGCAATTGAAAGTGGGTCCTTTGTTTGTTTTTGTTTTTCTTTCTTCTTTTCCGAACCATTTGTGTGGTATTAAAATGTTAGTGGAACCCAGAAGTGCAAATGAATGACATTGATGTAGCTATTATGAAATTGATGAGTGAAGTAATTGTTAGAGTTGCTTAAGTAGCAGTAGGGACCACACTTGAAAGTGAAGAAGGATTGCATTGTTGGAGATGCTTTTAGTAATGGATAAAAAGAGAAAAAATTATAATGTCCAAACAAGTGAATGTAACATATATTCCTTTATTACATTGTTGGAGATACTCTTAGTAATGGGTAAAAAGAGAAAAAATTATAATGTCCAAACAATTGAATGTAACATATATTCCTTTATTGCATTGTTGGAGATACTCTTAGTAATGGGTAAAAAGAGAAAAAATTATAATGTCCAAACAAGTGAATGTAACATATATTCCTTTATTATGAAATTTAATATAATAATATAAATGAAATAAATATATTCAGTTAGTTAGTAAATAATAGTAAGAAAGAGAAAAATAATATGATACCAGTCTTATATATTTATATTTTATTTTATAATTTAATGTCCAAACAAGTGAATATAACATATGTTCATTTGTTTTGTAATATGGATATCTGAATAATTTTATTTTAAAGAGAAATAAATAAAAATAAAAAACATAAATATTAAAAAGTTTTATCTTTCATTCAATGGTAAGTGAAATAAAAAGAATTAGATTAATTCTTTTAATAAGTGAAAAAAAGAAAAAAATTTATATAATTGTGATATAATTTCATATCAAATTTTTAATTATTATTATCTATTTATTTTGTCACATTATTACATTATTTAATGATATTTAATATACTTATTTATATCGACTCCTAAAAAATTATTTGGTAGTGTGTTACATATTTTTTAAGTATTCAGTTCAAAAATAAACTAAAAAATATAGAGTATGTAAATTATATTAAAATCATATGCAATATTACTTAACCTTATAATTGCAAAATATATATATATATATATATATGGTTCAGACTAGTGTACGCCCGGGCGTATATATATATATATTGTCTATTTAGTATTTCAAATTTTATAAGCATCTTTTATTCATAAACTTAGTTATTACATACTGAAAATAAGTTTTCATCCATAGATAAGTAATAAAAAATAGAATAAATTGTATAATAATATACATAAAATTAAGATATTATGTTGATTAGAATGTAATAGGCAGAAAATAATAAATTAATACGATAACTTTCATGTATTATAATATTATATAATTTAAGTTGAAATATATTATAATTAATAATTATAATTTCTAAACAAGTAAATGTAACATATATTTTTATTATTTTATAATATTGATACGTAGACTATTTAATATTAAAAGTTGTTATATTTATATAGTTTGTGAGGTCAATTATTGGTAAATGATATAAAATAAAATTTTATATTTTATATTTTATAATATAGAGATTCAAACGGTATGACTTTTGTTTGAGAGCTTGTGGATTTCATTTAATTAGAGGTTTCATCTTGGAGGCCTCTTCTTTCTTTTTTTATTTCTTCTTTTGTTCCTTGAAATTTATTTGTTAAATAAGTGAAATAGAAAGAAAAAAATTTATACTATTACACGTCGACTGGTCAATCGTGATAAAAAGAGCCATGTCATTTTGTTAGAGGTAGACTTAGAAAAGCCTTTTTAATGAAATTTTTTGGAATGTATTAAGATTTAAAATTAATCAATGAGGTAGGAATTTAACTATTTCTCATATTACGATATTTCTGTCAGAAACGGAGAGATCAAAGGTGGGGGGGGGGTGAATAATTTAATATCAAAATTATAATTGTTAGTGTCTATTTATTTTAATAAATTTATTATTTTTATATCAAACCAATTGGTAGGATGTTACATATATAAAAAAAATAAGTTTTCAATTGAAAGCTAAACTAGAAAAATATAGGTATATAAATAATATTAAAATTATATGTAGTATTATATAATAATGTAATTTGACATGAATATATATTCCCTATTTA